TATAGCACTTCCATCAGAAGAATGGGGGCTGGCGCAGCATCCTCTTTGAAGGTAGCGAATGCACTTCTTTTTCCTCCTAGGAACAGTCAAGAGAGTTATCTGTGAATAAAACGTGGATGTGAAACGTCACAAATATGAACTCTGGACAACAATGACAAAAAATAAAGAGCACACAAAACAAACAGTTATGCCAGAATATATAGTGTAAAATAAGTGCAAAAAAACCGACGTGTGAAATTACTGAAAGCAGGAGTGCTTTATTCGACCGTTCTGACGGAAGTTTAAGCTTTTCCAAAAAAAACATGACACTTAAATCTCCAGTGAAGTTTTATTCTCATGGTGAGTGAATGTTTTCATGCAGAAATCATGATTCTTCCGTAAGTTCACACTCTAAATTTAGGATCAATTTTTGAACGAACTCAAAGCATAGATCAGAGGAATTTCAAGCCATCACATTCAACATTTTAACAGTAAAATACATTAAAAATGTATTTCAATTCACGAACACAAGCAGGAAGGGTATTTACAGTTGAGTGCATAAGTTTGTAGAATCTTAATAATTCAAAAAGAAAAAAGAGGGATCATAATTCTTTATGTGGATTATATATGGAGCTTCTGAAGGACAGTTCTAAAAGATCTTTTTTGTTTGTTTTCTGCAAGTTTTTTTTTTTAAACTTCGGAAACTTGTGCACTCAGCAATTCATACAAATACTAGACATTCATTTACAGTAACATGTTTTAAAATGTTACTGTAAATGTGACTGTCTAGTATTTGTATGAATTGCTTTAACATTTTAAAACATGAACTGCCATTATAAAAATGAATAAGCGGTGGTTCGAACCAGCTGACCAATTGACTTGAGGAAATGAACTGAACTTCTTAACTCGATCACAACATTTTTAACTAATAGGTTACATGTTTTCTGAAATGTTATGTTTAAATATGCAAATGAGGCATTATCTCATTTATAATGCGCTAATTTGCATACATTTCCAGAACAGAAATCTGAGGCTCAAATAAAGCCAGGTTCAAACTTCTTTTCATTCTGTCAGCATATCAGAGAATAAAATGTTATATAAATCAGGTGAATGAAAGGCTAAAAGCCTTCAGAATCTAGACAGGAATAAAACTGTAAAGGTGTCAGTGCTGCTGAAGTGGTGA